ACGCCCAAGCCTTGTCACTGCCCCACACCTCATGCGAAGCACCGAACAGCAAATGCGAAGAACCAATGAGCGCAATTCGAACCAGCTCCAATACCAAATTGCAAGGAAAATAAACAGAAGTGAGATGACAACATTCAGATTGCACAATCACATTGAAAGCCAAATCGTAACACAGTGTTCAGGAAGCAGCATTGCACCCATATGACACCAATGGAGAATCGTAGCACTGAAAGTCAATGTCAATGAGAGCTTGCCCTCGCCACCACCAACATATGTATCCAGTCTCTATCTCCCTACCTGGCGCTTGGCGCCCAGCCTACCCCCTACACAGTTACTACTAGCCTACGAATTGACAATGCAACTTTTGACGTCAGCAGCACCCGAAGTACTTGAAGATGTCGCTCATGCAGGATCACCACCGATACCAGGTATGTGCCCTCACATCATCATCATCATCATCATCATCCTTCTCTCTCCCCCTTGACTCTCTCCCACGTCTCCTGTTGTTGTACACCCGAAGACCACCCCTGCGCCTCACTGTATGTCCATGCCCACAGCCAGCTATGAAGGCTGGGTTATGGCGCTGCCCTCCCGAAACGCCCTTCTTCACCACACGACCGCACGTGCGCAGCCTCTTGCTCCAATGCCAGCAGCCAGCACGTGAGCTATCGCTCCAGCAGCCCGAATGCCAGGCAGCGAGCTCTTTCCTATATGGAAAGAGCCTGCCTCATTCGGCAGCCTGGCTGGACTGGCCTGGGCCCAGAAGCTTCCGGTAGGCCCCAGGATGCTGAGCCTCTGGTGCAGCTACTGGTCCTCGTTCGGTTGGGCCTCCCAACTGTCTGTGTATGAGGCTGCGAATCTCGCCCAGGGCCTGTGCTTTCAGAAAGGCCTAGAAGGCCTGGGAGTTTCCACGCTGCTCGGCCTGTGTTTCCTTTCAACCAACTGGCTTGACGAAACTGCCTGGACCCCAAATGCGAAATTGGCAGCCAAGGGCCTCTCGTGATTTGTTAGGCCCGCCTTCACTTAAGGCGGGCACATATGCTGCAGGGGGGGCCCTTAGGCCTGCCGAGGACCCATATCCTCGCACTCGATGAGGACTATATACATTACATCAACTTAAACAGCCATAATAGCATGTACTCTGATTGTAATACCCCGTAATACACCGGCTCGCACCACGCCCCTCTGCCCCCCCGAACAAACAAAATGAAAATCATCCAAATTGTCCTCTACCTCCTCCATCTCTTCCCTTCTTTTTTTTTTTTTTTTTTTTTTCCCGTCTGATGATTTATTTTATATTTTTCTTTCATTTGTTTTGCGTTCATCTTCATCTCGAGGTGAAAAAAAAAGGAAATAATCTCTTTGTTGCGATGATTCTGTCTCATGTTGCTGTTTGTGATAGCCGTAGTGACGATCATTCTGCGTGACGATGTGTAATCACTGTAATAATGGTCTTTCCCTCTCTCCTCAGTCTCTCTCTGAGCAGTAACCCATCCTCTGCTTCAGTGAGAGCATAATACTTGGGCAAGGTCTTCATTGACTGAATATGGCCTCGATTGCCGTCAGGTATATAGGAATAGAAAGTATGAGACAATTCCACACAACGATGCACACGTGATGTCAACAATGATTGAAGCAGTATCCACTCTTCAAAAACCGCCATCGATACCGTAAACACTGTCACCGCCGAACAATCCGTCAAACTACTGACGTTCCTTCGCGGCAAGAGCCGGAAAGAACTCGGTCGAAGAGGCCGAACTCGATGTAACCAAAGTGTACTTGTATGATGTCTCCACACTCCTACACGGGCCCGGACCTTGCGCCCAACGACGGTGCCAAAATCATCGCCCGGACCTTAGGCCCAACGACGGTGCCAAAATCGTCGAATAGACAAACCCAGCTTTGCTTTGGTCCGAAAATAGATTCTACAGGTACGTGTTCATGGGGGTTCCTCACTAATGGCAGGCCCTGTACTTTAAGTAGACTCGATTTAAACAGGAGAGAAATTCTTCATGTTTAAAGCGTCAGCGGGACCTGTTTTGTTAAAAAAAAAAAAAAAAAGTGTCAGCGGGACCGGGCTAGGTGAGGGAAAAACAGGTCCAGGTCAAGGCATTGTCAACGCTAAAACTAAAAGAGATTACTAACCCTATCGTAAAACAAAGGGCAAAAAAAAAAAAAAAAAAAAAAAAAGGGATAAAGCTGGTCGAGGGTATATGTTCCCGCCATTGGTTCCACTGCAAAACGGGCCTCACAACAACAGAAAAACAAAGCGAACGTAAAGGACCCTATTTTCGCAGGTAAATTCATGAAAGCACAACTGTGAATATGCTCTAGCCTCTAAGCTGCTTTTGCAGTGTCACGCAGTAAGATGTGCTGACAATGTCACGTTGTGTCGAACTCAGTGTCACACCATGTCACACAATGTTGGACAGTGTTACAGTGTCACATAGTGCCGCACAGTACGATGTCTTCAGTGTTCTGTGGCATGCACTGTCACACTGTCACACTGTCACACTGTCACACATCATCAGTGTCACACAAAGTGTCGCACGCTTACACTGTCACACACTTACACACTCACATACTCACACTGTGACACTCACACTGTCACACAATAAGATGTGCTCACACACTGTCACACAGTAAGATGTGCTCAGCAGGGTAGCCGGCGCTCGGGTCCGGCCGAATTGCCGAACCCGAACGGCCGAACATTTGCCCCCCCCCCTTGGAGACGCGTTCGGCCGAACCCGAACGCCCAAAAAAAAAAAAAAAAAAGCCTCAAAAAAATCTGAAAAAAACTATGTTATGCAGAAAATAAACTGAATGACTTTTGCCTTGGGGTTGCATTGAAATTCTGTACCAAATGTAAAATAAAAAATACAAGAAGAAATAATTTTTTATTTTGTTTTATTTTTATTTTTTCTGGGCCCAGGTGGGCAAAAGGTCCTGGGCCTCGCTGGTAGCCTATAATTTTTGTATTCTTACTTTGGATCACCAGCTACTTGATTGATTGGCTGATTGATTGATCCTTGATTGATTATTTGATAGAAGAAAAAAACTCAGCACGTTAGTGTATGTGAGACCTTCTTTCTCTCTCTCTCTCTCACTAGCTCTCTCTCTCTCTCTCTCTCTCTCTCTCTCTCTCTCTCTCTCTCTCTCTCACTAGCTCTCTCTCTTTCTCTCTCTCTCACACACATACACACACACACACACACACACACACACATACTACCAGACAGACACACACACATATTAAAAACGTTTCAGGAAACAGAAAAGAAAAGGGAAAAGGAAAAAACCATGGCAACCGGCCGGACGTCTGGGACGGAATCCAGACAGTCCGGTTGTCTGGGTATATGGCATGGCAAACAAAACAAAATAGTGAGTGGCCGAGCACATTTCTGACATTGTCATCTTTGGCGATTTTTCGTTTCTTTTTGGATCAGCCATGCCCTCAAAAAATTTTCGTTAGGCATGTACCTTACATGCTACATTACTCGCCAAAAAACAAAATATATATATATGTCTGGAGTGTATTTTTTGGCTGTGACAGACCTTTCTTTGTTTCGTGGATGTTTTGCTGGCTTGTGATGGGGTGTGAACCGACAGTCTGTAGAGTTTTCCATCTGGTGTGGGTGAGTGATAGTCTACTTTGACTTTGGTTAAGGTAGATTATCATCTACAGTGTAATCAGTGAGGGGATTCTGCAGACTGTTGAGGGTTCAGCCTC